AACTAAATTTAATAATTAATTTTTGCTGCCCTTGGCATTTTGGTTTCATAATTATTAGAGTTCAGACTAATGAAATGAATTTTAATTGTCTTTAAGTATTTCCTCTTTGGTTACCTTCTCTTTCAGTCTGAGCAGGATAATACTATGTATTTTATTTGACCAATTTAGCCTGATCTATTATTTTTAAAAGGTTATATTCACGGTTATGGCTTGTAAACTGTAAATCTCCAAAGTACTTGGGTCTTACACCATGAGAACTTTGGGATGGAATACACATAGAAATATCAAGAAGCTTGGAGATATCAAAAGGATTTTAGGAAAGAGGTAGGGCTTAAGATAGATACGTCAATCATCCTAAACTTAGATGTGTTAATGAAATTATTAGAACACATGAAATTTCCAGGGAGTGCCCAAATACCCCAATAACATATAACACACTGCTCTACACCATTCAGTATTGGTGAATACTTTATACCATTCAGTATTCAGTTCAGGAAATGAGAAACATTCTTTAAAATGACCAAAAAAAAAACTCTTAAAAAAAAAAATCCCCTGTGTTGCTATGGTTACAGTCTTTAGATACTTCTGCATTTTTGAAACAATAATTATATTTATGAACCTATGAAAACATGCATGACAAAGTATAACTGCCTAATCAACTGCCTCTAGACATTTTTTTTAATTTATTTACCCTAAGAGATCCAATATTGCTAACCAATAAATCCTGAGAAAATATCCGGATATCTCCTTCACAATCTATTCAAATGTCTCAGTTTCTAATTAAACTTCTCCTTTCCACAACCAGTATTCATTTTCTTAGAAAGTTAAAGTTTCCTATGCTAAGTCCTACAATTGAATAGCATCATTTTCTATCACTTTCCTGTGGAAAATGTATATTTCACATATTACATCTTAGACACATTTATGAAATAGCCTTGATTCTTAACTACATTTATATCATTATATCCCAAGTTCTAAGTAACTAACTCAAAATGAAATTTTCAGACAAAGCCCATTTACTATATGACTAGTTCAGTTTTTTGTTGAGTTTCTGTTGTTCACTTCTCTTTAAAGTACTGCTCATAAGAACTGGAAGGTTATTATTGTGTTAGGATTAAACTTCCATCTAGAGACAAATAACCAAGTTAAAATGGAAAGAATGCTAGATTTCAAAGCATGACAAGGTCAAAGAAGATGGAGAAGGCAGAATCATAGTTCAGAAATATGAAGTAGGATCAAGGCAATAGCCAACTCAGATCATGACAGAATCAGATACAAAGTGCTACATGATAAAAAAAAAAAAAAAGGATAGTAAAAAGATAATCATATTTTCAGGCATCTAGTTCAAAGGGAACAGGAAAACAATATACAATTGCAGCAGCAAAATGTGAGCAGAATGCATTGGTCGCTTTCTTTCCCCTATCATTTGGAACTTGAGGAAAACTCAGTATTTTGAAAAGCCTAGTTTTGAGTCAAGTCTGATGTTATTCACTTCTCTTTAATTCCTCATAGTTTGCCTTTAACTTAAAGAGATTTGGTCTCTATTTTCACTCTATTTTTACCTAGCCCTGTATCGTGAGCCTTTAAGATCATGATCTTTTATCCCATTGGTTTTCTAGACTCTTACACTAAGCCTTGCTTCCTAGAAACACAAGGCAACTTCGTACCCTCCTAAGATCCAGGAAAACTTCTCTAAGTCACACTAAAATTAATGTTAGAGTTAAGGGTGGAAACATAAAAGACAAAAGCATCTTTAGCGTCTTCCCACTACTTAATTATCCTCCAGAACCCTCAAATCTGAACACAGAATTTTCAAAAATGCACTGGTTCATCATATATCAAGGATTAAAAAAAAGTTGACGTAAATTGACTGTCAAAAACATGGATTAGTAAATGGGTTCATTAGAGTGTTTTTTAAATGGAATTCACACATCCAAGCATTAGAAGAATATTCTGATGCACTATGTGGTTTAATACAAAAGTATTTAAGTACAAAAATATTGTTTAATTATAGATCAGAAAAGCACATTAAAAGCAGTTTAATGTGCACATTCTGAAGTGCTTTCAATCTTAAAGAATATTTTAAATGAATTATAAACTTCTGGTTAGTATCTCTTTATACAATAAATGCTCTGTATTTCAGAGAATAAAATAATTAAAAATTGGATTTATGGACCAAGATGTTATGTTTAATCAATTAGAAGTTAGCCTTGTTCTACGATAATATGGGTAAAATCGGTACTTACCTTTGATACCAAATCAATATTAAATCTCCTGCCTTCTTTAATAATTTGTGAGTAAGTAATCCTATTTTTCTTTGGTTGCTCTATGGTGTCTGCTGCTGTAGGCACATTTGTGCTTGTTTCTTCTTCTGAAGTTTTATCATCACAATGGTCGCCTTTCTCCCCTGTTGCTTCAGCATCATTTACTTCTGGGGCACTCTCTGGATCACTGCTTGGAGTTTGTTCTGCGGACATTTCGCAGCTCACGATGCTTAATGACTCATCTTCTGTAGGCAGGCAGGCAGAATCTGCAGCTTCTGTGGAGTTCGCAGATGTCACAGATGCGTGATTTTTCTGCAATGCACCAGCTTCTTCAACATCTTCATGCAAATCCTGACTAATAAGAAATCACAATAATTAACATCATGCTTTTGATAATTCTATCCTGTTACTTTTTTTAATATTGCTTAACTTTGCATGGCAATTTTTCCTTACCCTTTTTATCTTATAAAATTCAAGTGTATGTTCTGCCTTAGGTGAGCCAGACATTAAACATTTATCTGTAAGTTTTCAATGCAATATGAAACATAATTAAGATTTGATAAAAAGAGTTCAGGGTTTAAAAAGTCACACAATTATTTTTATTAATTTAAGGCAGACAAGGGAATTGTATTTGAAGCAAATCAACTTAATGCTTAAGAGTATAGACTGCAGAATTAACACATCCTCTAACCAGTTAGCTCTGTGTACACAGGCAAGATACTTACATTCTGAGACCTAAATTACTTCTCTATAACCTAGGAATAACATCACCTACCTCCCTTACAAAGTTGTTCTGAAGATCAAATGAAGTACTATATGCAAAGAATATGGCACAGTGCTGGGGACACAGTAAGTGCTCAATGATGGATATCAAAGATCATTAATACTGAGAATTCTTGACTCAGTGGTGTACAGAGGTATAATCTTCACTGAAGTGGGGGCAAAAATCTGCCATGAAAAGTTTAAATTGGTCTACCTCAATGTGTAATCGAACAAAATCTGTATTCTTTCCTGTCAACTATTCTTTCAGTACTGACATCTATCACTCTCCTGGAAGGCCCATTCTTAAAGTTATTACTAGAGTTAACATTCTCAGTCTATCATTTTCTTGTCTGCATCATGAATTTCCCTATTATATTTCATCCTCCCCAGAATCCACTATTTTCACTGGATTTCCCTAATGCTCAATACCTGACCCAATTGTATGTGATAGTCTCTGGCAAGCAAACATCTGCTCATTGATATTCCAAGAACAGTTGCCCTTCCTTATGTCAAATGTAAACCCCTCATAAAAATCTTCATCTTCCTGTCTGTAAACTAAACCATTTTCTTCTTTTACTAATTTTCTGGTCTCATCCTCACCTACATTCCAACATGCTATCTCTGATCTCCGTGTTTTGGCCCAGATCATTTTTTTTTCTGGATTAGCCTTTCCACTGCAAATAAAATCACAACTCCCCATTCCCAAACGTAATCACATACTTTAACAATCTATCTATTTTAAGGAGAAGTTTAAATTTTACTTTCAAGAAGTCTTTCTTGATCCAACCATATTCAGTAACTCTGCTGTTCCATGCTCTTATAATACACAAATGCAGCTTCCCTTGAAATTTTTAAAAAATCAATTCCTTTTTCATAGTCCTTGGTTGTTCAGCACATACTTTATTTTTAGAACTATATTTTTCTCTTGAGCAAAGACATGTACACCTCTTCCTTGTGTCCTTTTCAAAATATCCACTGTACTGTTATATAATATATAGATGTGATATCTATTAAATACTTGAAGAATACATGATTTGCATATGCAATAGATTTTCTTTATTAAACAAACATTTATAAAAACATAAAAGATTAGGTGAGGAAAACATGCTATATAATAAATGTTAAAAAGTAGGTACAGTGAAAAAATGAAGTACCTTATTAAAATTAACATAGTAACTACAACAAAACAGAAAATATTGAAAGAATAATACTCAAATGTCAATGAAGTAAAATGTCTTATTTGTTGTTAAAGCAATTTAATGAAATACAATGAAAAAAGGAATTGATATCATTAATGATATAGCAATATTTTTCAGAGTTAGGAAACTATAATGGGAAGAACATCCAATTTCTACTCCTTAATGCCCTACTTGGGAGACATCAAGCAAGTCTCTCAATCTCTCAGATTCCTCACGTATAAAATGGAGATCAGGCACAGACAATTTTGTTCAGCAGTTAAAATGCTGTTTAGGGTGTCCATGTCTTAAATCAGAGTGCCTGAGTTTGATTCTTGGCTCCAGCCCCTAATTGCAGCTTCCTGCCAGTATAGAACCTGGGAGGCAGAAATAACGGATCAAACATTCTTGCCACTCACAGGAGAGACCTGGATTGAGTTCCCAGCTTCCAATCCAGCCCAGCCCAGACTACTGCAGGGATCAGAGAATGAACCAAAAAAAGGAAGCATGTGCTGTCTCTCTTGCTTGCTCCCTTTTACTCTCTGTGCTTCTTAAATTTTTTAAATGGGGATCAATTCATCCGCCTTACCTTTGCATGAGACTGTTAAATGAGCTATTCTATGTTAAAAGTATTTTATAAGCTCTAAAAAGCTCAAATATAAGACATTAATCTAATTTAGGATATTCTAAAATTGTCTGCGATGAAAGCTCCTTGGCCACATAAACACGCAATAGCCCCACAGACATTAACAACGTTAAAAATGAAGAATGGCAATATGAAATGTGATTTGTCTGTTTTCTACATAATTGTTCATGCTCTGTATTCACTTTTGTTATTATGAAAGCCAATAAAACTAAAATGTGTTCCATAAGGGATCCAAAGTGACAACTTTCAGCAAAAGTTCCACGCCTGATCATTAAACTACGAAATGACATGATAATTAATTATATTTTACAGCTAAGACAAACAATAACAACCTCTCTTATTACAGACCATGATGATGACACTGTGAAAATGGAGCAAGCAACTGACCTGGTTAGTGGCTTTCTGTATTTTCCTTTGGAGGACTTTATAGAGTGAATGAAATGTATTAGCCAATGTGAGACTATACAGAAGATATAAGTCAAAATACCACTTATTTAAAGTATAAATGTAAGGAAAGAAATTATTTTTTGGGAATTTGTTCAGTATACATAAACTCTTAAGTTTCATTGCTCTCAACAAAATTTGGTAGAATTCCAAAACCACAAAACACAAGCAATAAAAACACAAAACATTGTCCTCAATTTCCACTAAAAATAACCATGGTATTTTGGCAAATTTGCCAACATTGAGGTTAATACCTAACAAGAAGTTATCAAGATACCAAAATACTTCTAAAACTGTAATTCCTCAGTAAACAAAATTCTGATAATAAAAAGGGATATCTTCTTCCACGTTTAAAATTTTATATCTAAGAAAAGTCTTACCCTGAGGGTTATAGCCCTCCCAAAAATGTTAGAATTTTATTAATTTAAATGTATTGAAAACTACGAAAACTTACTTATCAATTATAAAATGAGATTATAAGCCCTCAAAAGAACTTTTGTGTTTTGAACTATTACAATGATTTTCACATATAATGCTTATTATCATTATTTCTTATAAAAAATTCACTACCAAAGTAGATTTCAAACTAAATCTAGTTCTCAGATTCTTTCCTCTACATAGTTAAATATTTAGGAACATTATCACTTAGAGTTGAGTAGATCTTTCAGCAAAAAAACCCACAAAAAGCTAAAAAGGTATGGCTGGGAAGCATAGAAATAAATAAAAATTCATCATGAAGGAAACTAATGTGATAGATTTTTAAATAAAAGATTAGAAATTATAAAAAAAGATATAATGTTATCAATATTGTTAATTTGAATTCCACAGGCCATTTACCATACGGTATAACAATATTTTTGAGATGATTTTCCCAAAGTATAACTGCTGAATACTGTTTGCATAAATACATTTTTAATTGTCAAATCTATAAATAACCTTGAAATTTTGGAGGTATAAATTCTGGTATTATCTAGTACTGCTTATCAATTAATGATACTAACAAAGAGCACCTCCAAGCGAATGTGTCTTATTAATGCCTTGTAATAGTCACCCTTTTAGATAAGTCAAATGAAAACTGCCAACCAGCTGGTTAATCTATTCAGCACAGGTGTTCACTATTTATTGTTCAGCCATTTGCACTTTTTCCTCCAAAACACCTTGTTGCAGAGACTGTATTCTTTTGAGGTGTGCATTTTGTTCAAAGGCTATTCATTTCTAATTTGCATGATATATGTTATACAGCCACCCAGATGTTCACTACTGAGATAAACATTTAAATGGTTACTTGTAAGAACTACAAAAAGACTATCCAAAAATTGTGGTTCTAGAAAAGAGCAATATTAAAAATACATTGTAATCAACTTTGAATTGCTATAATATATTGATAGATACATTTCCCTAATTATTACAAGTTTAAAACATTAACATATACTGTAGAATACAATTGAAATATTACCCTCTTGTCATATTTCTCCAAGCACTAAACTTTACAAGGTGGTACACAGCAGGTACACTGGTTGCATACTCAGTAACCATTAACCTCTCCCTCCTTGCTATACCTCAATGCTGTTCCAATATCAGACTGAAGGTATCGAGTCCTGGGGCTTGGATTTTGACTGCTCGAAACTAATTATGGTCATTTTACCTCCCTTTTGGTGGTGACTGATTTAGAAATGAGCATATTATTCAGTTTTAGCCAGTGAGATAAGGAAGAGTTTACTGGAGGCTCTTGGTAATGATTTTCCATGAAAAAAAAAAAAAGTGCACACGTGCTAGGAAAAACTCTTCCCCCTTCCATTTGCGATTAGAGATTTCTATGGTCTAAGAATCTGTTTGGAAAGCTAAGAGAAGTGCAGAACAGATGCCCCAGTGCTCTTAGGTGCTGAGGCTACATAATTAACAAATCATCCCCCTACCTATCACCACCTATATACTCTGTCCACTTGTTTAAGCCACATTTAGTTGGGCATCATGTCATCTGCAGCCTTAAACAAATGTATCATACACAGTTGTACAGCTTCCTGTAAACTGTAAAAACTGCAGGTGATTTTTACTTCTTTTGTCTTATTAGTGTTATTCCATTGCTATTGTTGCTCAAGAAGAACATATTGCTGGAATAATTTTTAAGATAAAATTTTAGAACTAAAAATAAGTAGTTTTAGATGCCTGTTTGAATAAAAATCTTAATTTTGGTATTAATTTTCTAGAGTTGGTTCATTTGAACCTGAACTTTCATCCTGCTTTAACCTTATACCAGGAAAAGGGGGAAAAAATGCTCAATATGCAAATAATAGGGCAAGAAGTAATCGTCGATATTTAAAAAAATCT